TGGGGGAATAACTACCCACTAACCAGCTATGACCAGCCGGGTACCATCAGATCTGGGATGATAATGACATCACCAGCAGCATCGTGCTGGGCCATGGTTTGTTTGCTATGGATTATCATGAAAATTGGGATCTAATTAGTGGTTTATAAGCCATTAAATCCCATGAAGTTCCATTAAATCCCCATGATATTCCATTAAATTATATTTTTTGTGGTTTAGGAGCCATCAAATCCCATTAAATAATTACATTAAATTCCACTGAATCACATGTTTTTGTGGCTTATGAGCCATTAAATACGATTAAATTTGATTAAATCACCATTTGTGTGGCTTATGAGCCAATGACTCAGGAATTGCTCACTTTTTCCCATGGCCGGCCCCGTCTCTTTCCGTAGGTCATGGGCGTCTCTGGTCCTGTTCCAAAACGACCCGTGCAGGAGAGCGTTCCCCCGTTGGTTGGAGAGTGTGAACAGTTGCCGTACAAAAAAGTGGCTGAATTCTATGGTTTATGGTAGTATGAATTACTGGTGTTTTGGAAAATGGTGATTTAATGAGGGTTTATGGTGGTTTAATGGGATTTAATGGGATTTACCATACTAAGAATGGATGATGAATGATGATATACTAACATAACTATGGAAAATCACCATTTTATAGCTGGGTAAATCAACTATAAATTGCCATTTTAATGGGAGGATGGTGGTGACTGGAACCATGGACTTTTGTGACTTTCCATATATTGGGAATGTCATCATCCCAACTGACGAACTCATTTTTTTTCAAAGGGGTAGGTATACCACCAACCAGCTATGGTTTATGGTAGATCTAACGAACTAGTATCCATGGGGTTTATACAAATTTATAAACCAACTTATGGCCCAACTAACAGTTATTTTCATGGGTTTATGTCATGATATATAACCTCAGTTATAGGAGTTTTGTTTCTATTTATAACTGTTAAGGGTCATAAGTGCATGGACTGTTGATGGGATATATTGAGTTAATGTAATATAAATGGAATATAGGACGATAATTGATGGGATATACTATGTAATATGTATGGAATATAATGGACTATCATGAACTATCAAACGTGGTAATAGGTCAGTTAATGGACTATAATCATGATCAACCTTGCTTCGACGCGAACTAGTACATGCTAGTACTTTAATCTGTTGCTATCATTAATGGTAAACAGTACTAACACGTTGGATATCCGTCAACTGTTAGCATTGGATCGACTTCGTTATGCTCGCGAACTTTTCTGTGATGGGCCAGAATTTTTGCAGAACTTGGTGCACATTGAGTTTCAGCATTGCCCTGATTCCTGGCTCCATGGCCTGATGGCTGATCTTCAATGGCTCAAGGTTTTGGTACCACACAGGATCCCGGACTTGCAGGGCTCCGATATGACGGCATTTGTGGACTTGTGGCAGCAGCCCACCACACCATGGAAGAGAATCCTCAAGCAGGCTTGGAAGACGGCACTTCTGCAGGAGCACATGATGGTTGACATTCAAGTTCTTCATGGGCGCATTTTTGCTGTCTTAAAGAATGGAGGAGCGGAGTTCACCCCTGAAGGGGAAGTGGCACTTGGGCCTGCTCGCAATGAGGTCCATGTTTTTGCCTGCGGCAGGAGCTTTGACACTCCGCAGGGACTGGCGCTGCATCGGGTGCGAGCACATCAAATCTATGCGCCAGAACACTCTATGACATGTGGCGCAACTTGTCCCCAGTGCTTACGGTTCTATTGGACAAGCGCTCGACTCCAGCAACACCTCGCGTATATACCAAGAATCGGAGGTGTTAATCGTTGCTACCAAGCACTCATGGAGACGGGCTTCCAGGGGCATTATGTAGCAACACGTTTGCCCAAAACGCTCAAAGGGACAATCCGCTTTGATGCCTTGCAGGCGGCTGGGCCGCAAATTGATCGCCCTTTGATCGCAAGCTCCCAAGCGGAAGCAGTTCTGGCAGAGATCCAGGTCCTTGAGGAGGAGCTCGCGATCCCCATTCAACCAGAAGATCCACTACAAGAAGGTTTACATTTGGGAGAACAACTGTCCACCTGTACCCGTATCTGGATTGAGAGATATAGAGGTCATGCAAGAGAAGACATCCCAGTCAGTGACATCGGGGATTGGTGGATGAAGTTGCTCTTCACCTATGATGACTGCTTTGAACCTTGGACTGAGATGGTCTTCCTGACGTGGGGCCAACATGTCCTGCCGGACCTGCTGGGCACAACGCTGGATGGCTGTGTGGAGTATGTGGTTGAGGATGCCTTCTACGACCTCTACAAGGTTCTCCCGCGCACTGAATGCCTGGATCGTATCGAGTTCTTGAAGCAGAAGCATGCAAGGCTCCAGGCGGAGGAAGCTGCCCCGAGCAGGCCGCACAGACCAGTGCGAACTGGGACAGCCAATGCAGGAGAGCGTAGGCGCACAGTCCAGCAGGTGCCGTCTTGCTACGAAGCACAGGCTGATTGGCTGACGGCGATAAGACAGATGCAATGGCGAGCCCTTCCAGCAGACCCTACTGTGCCGATTTATCGATCCCTTCAAGGGCGACCTCATTTCCTGATTGTTCACATTTTCTCGGGACGGCGCCGAGAAGGTGACGTACACTGCTGTTTGGTCAAGTGGGCACAGACCCGAAATGTTGATGTCACGGTATTGTCGATGCACACTGCCGTTTCAGTGACCTATGGCAATTTGTTGTGGCAGTCGGTGTCCTGGAAGCAGCTTGTCCAATGCTATGAGCGAGGATGGGTGTCCGCGACAATTGCAGGCACACCATGCGAGACCTTTAGCGAGGCACGCTTTCAGGAGTTGGTGGCTGCGCCCGATGATCCAGAAGCGCCCCGCCATCGATGCCAGCCACGACCTTTAAGATCATTTGAGCGGCTCTTGGGGTTACCGGCGCTGACGCAGCGTGAGCTAGCACAGCTAGGTGCAGGGTCGATGTTTTTCCTCCAGGGCCTCCTACTTTTGTCTTTTCAAATTGTAGGGGGAGGGTGTTATATTAGTGAGCATCCTGCACCACCACGGGACGCTACACGGCCATCTATATGGACCTCTCCGTGGCTCCATGTCCTACGGCAGCACCCAGACCTGAAGTTGCACATCACTCCGCAATGGCCATTTGGCGCGAGCGTGCCGAAGCCCACGGGTCTTTTGGCATTGAGGCTTCCTCTGTTCATGCGCTCTGTCTATCGCCATGCTGAGCCGGGTGCAGTGAGGCCCAATGCGGTCGCAATTGGGCGCAAACCTGATGGGTCGTTCAGAACGAGCGAGCATAAAGAATACCCGTCGAGGTTTTGCGCAGGCCTTGCCCAGGCCGTTATTGACTTTTTGGACCACACCCTGCGCACAGGGCGAACACGTTTAGTGCCGCCACAGGGAGTGGATTTTGAGCTGCATCGCTGGATTAGTGAAGCAAGGGAAGCATGTGCAGATATCCGCCAAGGAGCGGTGTGGCTTCCGGACTACCAGCGTTTGTAGGCCATTAAGTTCAGTCTTTGTGAATTCTTAATTCGAGAATCTTTGCAAGTCGCAGCAAGGGATAGACTCTTTCAGGCAGTGAATGAAAATGATGAAGTATCTAAGATTCACCATGCAACCAACTATTAAAGGAAGACTATAATGGAACTATAATGGATATAATGGACTATAGTGGAATATAATGCCATATTGATGGCATATGATCGCACATCATGGAGTGTAATGAAATATTGAGGGGATAAAATGGACCCATTAATGGAAGATTAATGGGTCATAACCCATATGCGAATCATGGTGCTGGACTATGCACACCAACATTTGCCCAAAAGTCCAAAATCATTCAGTTTTGTAGGGAAATATGCCAGCACCATGGTGAGCTAATCTGGGTAATGGCGGCAATGAGTCACTGGAGCTTGGGGATTTTTTCATTGCCAGGTTGGACGTTTTTATGGGGGAACGGTT